CTACTGGGGGGGGGGGGGCGTACTTCCATAAAGAGCACAGTTTGATAGTATTAATTTATCAATGCATATAGTTGAGAGGCTGTAATATAAATAGATTAAATGACGTGAAACTTGCAGGGCAATGATTGTATTTACCCATAAGTTAAGCATTTCGCTGTGAGCAATTATTTTTTTGCCATATATGAACAGTATATGACTGGTTTTGAACATAGATACACAAACCTTTATCACATTACTTTCGTGTAAAACTAAATGCAGGATGGTAAACGGCGAGTTTAATCAAACTGCGGCAAATCTTGAAGTTAGCTTTTCTTCCTATCTTGTGGTGCCCGTGGTTTATTTATGTTAGATTATTAATATTTAAAATGAGAAGGTTAGAGAAAACGTATCTAAGCTGATTCTGTAAATATTTCTCTTCCTGCATGCTAATGGTGTATAAAGAGACATGAGCAATATTGCTTTCTTCTCGTGATTTTTATTTCATTTTTGCAAAATATTTATATTATGTTTCTGGGAAACAACAAATAAGAGTAGAATGCCGACGAGGCCTTTCACGTAATCCCAGTAATCACCAGAGCGACTGGGAAATAATAGATAGAGTAATCGTTGAGACGCTATTTATGTTGGGAAATTACATGAATCACAATTTTTATGGTGCAGGTAATGAAATGAAGCGTTCCATTCCAAGACAACAATCACAAAATACATTTCGTCATGATGCATGAAAGAATGAATAAAACTTTGTACATGAACCTTTCAGCCTTTAGAACTTTTAACATTAATTATCTTTAATATTATGTATGCAAAAGTATTTCTTAGAAAGTATACATCGCGAAAAGAAAATACATCAAAGGAACCGCGTTATTGCCATAATTCTGCTGACAAATGGTTTTGTTCATCTAAGCCTTTTCTGTTTTTCCAGCTTTTCTTCTTTCGCTTCTTGGTTTATAGTAATTATATATTTATATGATAGGTTTCTTTTAAGTTTTTTCTGCCTCGAATACAGATTTAATGAGAAAATTACTTAAAATATTTGGAAACGCGAAGAAAACAAAAATGGCAAATTAATGTCAAGCTATTATGTTCTAAGTAAGTTCTTACCAGTTAATTTAATGTTTATTAAAATTTCCAATACGTGGCGATGTATCTCGTATTTCTTTCCGTGCCATTCGTCAATCATCGATATTAAAATTTATTTCCAAGTTAATTAAAGGCCAGACATTGGAATTACATTCAATTTCTTTCCGTTTTCTTTTACTCAGAAACACAGGTTCCAGTCGGTTTCTAGTGATCTGTCATTTCTACCAGAAAACATTAAAAGAATATTGTAAAGGTGTAATTTTTCTTTGGTTTCCTAAGTGCCATTGTACATTAGCATCGCATTTGTAATTTCAGTTGTAACAGAACACGTTATTTCGTCAAAAAAGAAAAATATTTTATATTTTAAGCTTAATACACGTGAATTAAGCCACTTTCGTGTTATCTTGAGGATAAACATTGACACTCAGTCTCGTTATTCGGTTCAAACAGAAGATGGACAAAGGTGCTACTGGTTGGATGCTTTACCTCTGGCTGTTTTTAAGAGCAATATATATATATAGATATATACACACACAAGTAACGCCTACTGTCCTCTACTCTTTACGAAACAAGAAATGGAAAAAGTATAATATTATTTCTAAATAAAGATGCATACAATTTTTAACCATACAAATTCAACACGAAAAGCAGTTAATGTCAGAGTATTTGAATTTAACATTTTCATCAGTTTCACAATACACCTACTAATTTGCATACATCAGTAATATTTTTTGTGGAAGATTAACTAAAATTTTGTATATTCGAAGTAACGTGTTTCTGACGTGCCTCATAATTTATCCACTGAAGTTTAGGGCTAATTGATAATGGTCTTAATTTCACAACTATGAATGTAGCCAATGAAGAACTACTTTTTGTACTCAGAAAAAGGGGCAAGTTTATTGAACTAGACCCAGTTTACCTACGTGGACATATATTATAATTGACAAAAGCCACTCTGCACTAGCCATTCCTAACTTTGAGCTAATACACTAAAATAAAGACAACTAGCCAAGAGCACTTACCGCTAACACTTGGGCTACTCTTGCCTGACAGAACAGTTTCATTTGATAGTCATTTTTACAAGTTACAGCACATTCGTCGACCCAAAGGGCGGAGTGCAATTTCTTTGTAATTTTTTTTAGGTAACGGGATTCGAACGTGGGACCAGCAGATCCATAGTCTGGCACGAAAACTGGCAACAAGAACATTCCCATATCAATATCATTGAATTTAGTCTTACAGCATCCTGAGCAAAAAAAAAAACTGCGTATATTTGAAATTTGAAATGAAGTCTACGTTTATACATCACACACTTTCAAACGGAAGAACTCAAACTCATAGCTCACTACTCTTGAAAAATAACCACAATAAACACATTGCCCTCCGAACATGGAAAGGTCATGTACACTTTTTTGGAGGCTCATCTCGAAACGTTAGATCTATATTCTTTCGTAAAGTGTTAAAACATAAAATATTTACGCTTACTAAATAATATAACGTACTGGTTCATTAGGAGATATTGTTTTTTTATATAATCGTAAAAACTATTAATTGAAATAAAAACACATTAACTATTGTACCAAAGTTGCAAGATATCAGTTTTATTTTCTTACACAGCAATGATTGTAAGGTTAACTGATAACTTTATGAGTTTGTACAAAGGTGTTATAATAATTGTGCCTTTATTTTATTCCCAGGATCATAAGAAAAGTGGTTATTACGGTAACACGTCTACGAAGAGTGTAAACAATGACGGTGAAGAAAAGAAACTATTCCATTGTAAAAAGATAAAGATCAGATGTTTTAGGGTTAGCTCCAACTAAGACGTTCTACCACATCTACATTGTCTACTGCACCCTTTCACTCTAGGTAAGTCACTCATGAAAATATAGTTTCTAGCCAGTGTCGATAAACCTTCATCCTCCCAAATATTACGCACCCACTTGAAACATTTCTTGTCATGAAATTACAACACAAAGGAAATTTTGACAAGTAGAAGCATAGTAAAATGACGAACGACCTTAGGTCTTGTTTGGTTTGAAAACAATAACGCTGAATTACTGATAAAACAAGACAGTTGTAAGTCTATGGGCTTACACCGCTAAAATTTGGGGCTCGATTCCTCTATGTGAACACCAGCAGATAGACTAAACAAACAAACGAAGTGGTTAAACAAAAAGAGATGTATTGGGAAATTCACATAGAAAAATAACAAAGATCAAAACATCTGAAGTTAAGCACAAAGCTACATATTGGGCTATCTGTTTTCTGCCCACCACGGGTATCGAAACCCGGATTCTAGCGTCGTAATTCCGCAGACATACCGCTGTGTCACTGGGGGACTTGTAAGAGCTGTTCGAATTGAAGAACAAGAAAATACAAAACCAATAAATTAAATTCTAATATTTAGTAATCAATACCTCATACGTGAATATCATATTTCTTCTCAAAATTAAATTATCATACAGAATACTCAAATCGTTGCATTGTCTGACTAGTATGTCTCCATTCAGTTAGTTATCAGAACGTTGGACTTTTATATGTTTTTGGAAAATTTGAATTGAAAATTTAACTTGTAAGAATCCTTATACGTACGTGGGTTGAAGGGTTCAGATATAGCTGTCCCAGCCTTTGAACTACTTACCAGAGGGAAGGTAGCCAGCAGTATTCGCCGTCACAAGGATTTTGTCTGGTTCTTTGAACTGGATAACAAGGTTGGTTGTCAATTTTATAATGTGTTCACAGTATGTAAAGAATTCAGCGGTATGACATCTCGAACAATGACCGACGGTAAGCAACCTGGCGCATTAACTACTGGGCCACGCCCTGCCTTATATTTTCTGAGCAATAAACCCTGTTCAGTCACCACAGTGTTCCACATTCAGATTTCTGGGTAGTACACTTTACTGATTCTTAAATCTTAGCAGAATAAGTTACTTTGTTAAACAGAAAACTCATACTTATAAAGGCCATGGGAACGTTATAATGTGACGGTTAATCGCACTATTCATTGGTAAAAGAGCAGTCCAAGAGTTGGCGGTGGGTGGTGATTACTAGCTGTCGTCCCTCTAGTCACTGCTAAATTATGGACGGCTAGCGCAGATAGTCCTCATGTAGCTTTGCGTGAAATTCAAACCATACTTATAATCGTCTCGCACTCTAGCAAATTTTTCGTGAACTTCACTAAACATTTGAATTGGGCAAACATTTATGGAAAACAAACATTTCATGGTGCTCTTTATTATTACAAAATGTTCAGTAAATATTAATTAAATTGGATAATAACAATGTGTTTAAAGCAAACATTCAATATTACAAGATGTTTAAAATAATATGTAGGAAATATTGGTTCTCACGCCTTACATATGTGCATTAATAAGTATTTTTTTATAATATGCTCAAAAGAAATGATGTAATAACATAGAAATTAATGTAGAATTAAGAAATATATATATGTGAATAATGAAAATTAGGTCCTGTTTTATAAATCAGTGTTAGTCTTAGGCCGTCAGTGAGTCTTGAAGTTACACCGTAATACACTTATTAATATAAATTCATTCATAAAGAACATAGATTGAGAACATAGATTATGAATTCCGTATTTAAAGAGACTAATATTAATGAGTTATCGTGTAATAGCTGCTAGTGGAAGTTTTTTTTTTTTTTTTGCTTTAACTAGTAACAATAAAGTTAAGCCTAAATCATTTGTACTAATTAGCAATGAAGATTTATTATTAAATTAGTACGGAAAATCTAACTATAATATGACATGCATAAATTTTTAAACGTTATCTAAGACTAATAAAACTTAAAGTATTACATAAATTTCCTTCTTCCTGACTTAACCTACATTAACATGCACATTTCAAGGCCACCGCTCTAAAAGAGCGCATCATTTCGCGTATAATAACCCAAGAAGCTGAATAATAAAAACTAACTATACATTTTTCTTATTAAAAAACATCCTTCAAGTCTAGAGTTGGTTGGAACTTCATATACTCAGTTCATCAATCATGATAACGAGGTTATCGCATATCAACATTGAATCCAGGAATGTAATTATTATCAAGGGACGCGAAAGGGTATAAAAGTATTATAGTGATAATTCCCAAGGCAACCATTTTATTGGCCATTTTAATATACGTGCTGTAATTAATGAAATACAATGTCTACTGTAAAAGAATTTGGAGGTGTAATTAAATTTAGTTATATAATTATGCATTAATTAAAAATCTATCGAGATGGCGCTGTAAAAAAAGAAAGAACAGGACACAACGTGATCCCAAAGTAGCTATTGATTCATTTGTATGATCTGTTCCCACGCGAACATATTAATTTACTTTGTACATTACTTCATATATCTTTGGAGCTTCTATTCACATACAGTCAAAAAAAAAAACATGATAGTTGACATTAGCGTAAAACTTGTATTATATTTTATCAGTTCGCATACGCTACATTAGAGCATACAATGGAAATTTGGTAGGTTTACATGACGAAGGTTCAAAATATACCTTCCTTGGAAAGACAGTTGGTGGTGTGAACAAAGAACCTTACTTCTGTGTAAAATTTAACAAAAATAAAGTTTTTCTTGAAATACGTAAACGTATAATAGCATTTTAACCTATCATAAGATCCTATTATCGGACTGGAAATATTCGTAATTATTTCGCAGAATGTCAGGTGGTCTCAATATCTTTAGCAA